GCTCTCTGATGAGGGGGTTATCCCAACCCCAAACCCGCCCGTTCCAACGCCGCTCTCCTCCCGCAGGGGAGAAGCAGATGCGCTTCGCCCTCTCCGAGCTCCCCTTCGACGTGAACTCCAGCTTCGAGAAGGACGTGGAGGTGGTCTCGGCCCACCACCCCCTCGACGCCTCCTACGGCGGCCCCCTGTCCCTGCTGGGGGGGGAGCACCTGCGCTCGCTCCGCCTGCCCCCCACAAACTGCATCTCCGAGGTCACCCCCGTCATCAGCTCCGTCTACACCCAGATCCAGGCGCTGCCGGCGCGGCTGGAGCTGCCGGGGGGCCGGGAGGCCGCCGAGGGCCACGAGGAGGTGCCCGACGGGGTGTCGGTGGTGTTCCGGGCCCGGGAGCCCAGCGGGTCTCCCTCCAACGGCTGCCAGGACTCCACGGACACGGAGAGCATCCACGAGGAGCGGAGCTCGCAGCTGGCGCCCGGGAGCAGCCGGCACAGCCCAGCCTACGCCAAAGAGGAGCCCAAGGGGCCGGAGGGACCCCCGGGCGCCCGGTGCACCCCCAGCTCCGCCAAAGAATCCCTGCGGGTGCTCAACGAGGACGGGGAGCAGCTCCGGGCCTTCAAGTGCGAGCACTGCCGGATCCTCTTCCTGGACCACGTCATGTTCACCATCCACATGGGCTGCCACGGCTTCAGAGACCCTTTCGAGTGCAACATCTGTGGCTACCACAGCCAGGACCGGTACGAGTTCTCCTCCCACATCGTGCGGGGCGAGCACAAAATCGGCTGAACCCCCTCCGGGCCCCCCCAGCCCAGCCCAGCCCAGCCCACCCCCCTCCTCAGTTCTCCCCCTGTCTCTAGCGCAGCCCCTCCATCCCTAGGGCATGGAACTGTTGGTTTTTCTTTTATACTCCTTTGCACTGACTTTGGCTACAAAAAAGTATTTAAAAAAAAAAATTTTTCAATAATTAAAAAAAAAACCACAAAAACAAACCACGAACCAACCGGCCCCGCCGAGGGGGAGCCCTTAATCTGCCTTTTTATAAACGGAGTTATTTAAATATTGAATATTAACGGACTTTTTTGTGCTTTCCCCCCACCTCCCGAGCCTCCTTCCGTTATTTATTAAGCTTTTGAGTTTCCCTTTTTATAACTCTCTCGGGTTTTTTACCCAAAGAAAGTCTCATCTGAACTTTTGAGACTGTTCCCCCCCGTCCTGCCCCGTCGGCTCCTCTCCGAGCCCATTCCTTGGTGCGAGCCCGGCATTGCCCGTCCCCATTCCCGGGCAAAGTAAACCTCAAATTAGGTGCTAAACCCCCACGGGACCCCCCCCCCCCCCCCCCTTGCCCCCCCCCAGCCCTGAGGGAGCTACTGCATTCCGAGCTTTGTCTGGGAAACCCCCGGAGTGGGATGTGGGGACCCCCAGGCGCCTTCCCAGCTCCCCCCTCGTGGGGTTCAGAGCCCCCCGACCCCAGGTGGGGGTGATGGGGTCCATGTCCGCCCCAAAAATGAAGGATGGATCCATCCTGTTCCTGGGATCTCCTCCTCCTGCTCTTCCTCGGCACAGGCCGGAATCTGCTGCAGGGCAGGACCCCCCCGGGGGACCCCAGAGCCAGTGGGACCCCCCCAGGGGACCCCAGGTCCGGCCCCCCTCGCTCCCCCCAGCATTCCCGGGGCTCAGTGGGGTCTCCGTGCTCTCCTGGTGCTCCCGTTCCCACACGGAGCAGCCGGAAGCCGGAGCTTCCCAGGGCCCCCAAGTTTGGGTCCGATGCCCCCAACACACCCCCTTTTCCCCTGGGACGATCCCGGGGGCAGTTTGCCGGGATCCAGGCGGATTCCAGGGGCGGGTTCCATTCCCAGTCAGGCACTCCCAGTCCCATGGCTGGGGGGTCTGGAGCAGGGGCCCCTCTGGGATGGGGTCCCACTGGGAGCAGGGCCAGGGCAGCAGCGAGAACCAAAAATCCCGGGCTGAGCTCCCGCCCCTCGGAGCTGGGGGACCCCCAACCGCAGCCCCCCTGCCCAGGGGACCCCCGGCTGCAGCCCCCCCCCCCCCGGGCTCTGACCCCCCCCCCCCCCCCCCCCCCCCCCCCCCCGCGGGGGTCCCGCTCCCCCCGGCCCAGGATGCATAAAAGGCCCCTCGGGGCCGCCCCCGAGGGCGAAACCAAAGCTGTTCCTTTGTACGGACACACACACACCTCAGCAGCGCCGCTGCCCTCCCGCCTCTCTCGGGGACATTATCCCGTTTTTGGGGATTTTGTCCCTTGTTTCCCCCTCCTTTTTGCTCTCCTGACGGCCTCTGGTGGCGGGGGGAGGTTGGGGGCGGCTGAAGGAGGGGGGTCCCCCCGTTCCCAGCCGCCCATAACGGGGTGCCCACGGCACCCCCTCCCCCCCCAGCGCCCAAACCAACCCAAAAAAGGGGTTTTTTAATCCAAATCGAAGCTCTGCCGTTTCCAGCCCCTCTTGGGTTGGTTGGTTGTTTTTTTTTCCCCCCCCTTTTCCGTTTTCTTTTTTTTTCCCCTGTCGGAGTCTGAAACAAAACTGTAGGAATTTTGTAAAACCTCCAGGTCGCTTTATCCCTGTAAATATCTATTTTTTAATCCGATGGATGAAGAACAAACGAGGATGTGCAATACCCCGCCTCCCCCAGGAGTTTTTTGGTTGTCTCTCGTTAATGGATTCGCTGTTGTCTTTGCTTTGCCCTTTTTTGTGAGGTTTTGACTCGCTTTTGGACACCCCCTGTCCCCCCCCACCCCCGACCCCCCCCAGGAGCTTTTGTATCTGTAAAATATTGTAATTAATGATTTGTGTAACGAGATCTACTGTAAGTTTTGTACTGTACTGGCTGAGGGTCTGTTATAAATAAACCGGAGTAATTTAATGCGCCCCCCGGTTCCCTGATGTGGGGGGGTCGGTGGGGACCCCACAGGGGTTTGGGTGCCCAAAGGACACTGGGGACCCCCAGAATGGTGGGGGGGGATGACACTGGGGACATCCAGGGCTGTGGGGGGCACATCACTGAGGACCCCCCAGGGATGCAGGGGGAGGACACTGGGGGTCTGCTGGAGGAGTTTGGGGTGGTGACAGGACAGAGGGGACCCCCAGAGATGGGGGGAGGACACTGGGGGTCTCCTCTGGGGGTTTGTGATGGTGACAGGACAGTGGGGGCCCTGGGGGGGACACATGGGATACTGGGGACCCCCCAGAGATGAGGTGAGGATACTGGGGGTCCCAGCATAGGGGTGGGGCAGGCGGGGCGCCCCCAAGAATGGGAGGACACCCCAGGACCACCACCCCCCCCCCCGGACTCCATTTCCCGGCAGCCCCCGCGGCGGGCAGGGCTGATGACGTCACCCAGCGCGCGAATTCACCTTACACCTCGCGTGCAGCGGATCCCTCCGCCGCCCCGAGCGAGGAGAAATAGTCCCCGTCCCCGTTCTCCCTCTCCCTCTCCACCGCCCTCCCCATCCCGGCGCCGCCTCCGCCCGTCCCGGTGCCTCGGGTGCAGCCCCTGCGAGGCGGCCTGGGGGGAGCCACGGCGGGTCGGGGCGGCGGCGGAGGCGCTTCCGGGCGGAGGGAGCGCTTATAAGGGCGGCTGTGCGGCGGCCGCGCCTCTTCCGGCGCCCCCTCAGAGCCGCCATGGTGAGCGCGGCGTGGCCGGGGCGCCTCGAGGCGCTTTGGGGGACCCCGGGGGCGGCGCGGGGCACGCGTGGGGCAGGGGGGACTGAGAGAAGCCTTTCGGGGGCTTCGGGAGCGCGGGAGGGGCGTGGGAGGCACAGGGTGGTGGTGGGGAGCGCAGGGAAGCCCGTATTGGGCAGGGGGTGCTGGGGGGTGGATGGGGCAGGAGATGGGGGGGAGGAAGGAAACCCCGGGGCCTGTGAGGGGCTGTGGGGGGTTACTGGGAATGGTGGAGGGTGTTACGGGGTTGGGGGCCTGGGGTGGGTTCTGGGGCTCAAGGCGGTCCCGGGGCTCACCCTCGGCCCTTCCCTCGGGCAGACGAAGAAGAGGAGGAACAACGGGCGGGCGAAGAAGGGCCGCGGGCATGTGCAGCCCATCCGCTGCACCAACTGCGCCCGCTGCGTCCCCAAGGACAAGGCCATCAAGAAGTTCGTCATCAGGAACATCGTGGAGGCCGCGGCCGTCAGGGACATCTCGGAGGCCAGTGTGTTCGACTGTGAGTTGGGGGGGCCTCTGCCCCGCCTAAGAGCAGCCCACCCTGCTGCCTCTGCCGCCCCAAAACCAGCCCATCACCCCCAAAACAGCCCACCCTGCTACCTCTGCCACCCCAAAACCAGCCCATCACCCCCAAAACAGCCCACCCTGCTGCCTCTGCCACCCCAAAACCAGCTCATCCTGCTCCCCCTGCCCCCTCTAACTGAGCATACCCTGCCTGGGTGGGGCTGTCACCCAAAACCAGCCCACCCTCCTGCTCCATCACCCCAAAACCAGCCCACGCTGCTCCCTCTGCACTGGGGGGGGCTCGGGGCTGTGCCCTGGGGGGCTCAGGGGGCTCAGGTCCCTGCTCCCCCCAGCCTACGTGCTGCCCAAGCTGTACGTGAAGCTGCACTACTGCGTCAGCTGCGCCATCCACAGCAAGGTTGTCCGGAACCGCTCCCGGGAGGCCCGAAAGGACCGGACACCCCCGCCCCGCTTCCGCCCCGCCGTACGTACGGGGGGCTCTGGGGGGCCCGGGGGGGCCGCGGGTCTGTGCCCCCCCAGAGCCCCTCATGCTGATCTCTCTCCACAGGGTGCAGCCCCCCGACCGCCCCCCAAGCCCATGTGAGGAGACTCTGCCTGAACGTGGCCCCCGGACCCCCAAACTCAGACTCAATAAAGGGTCCTGCTCCGAGCCTGGCTCTGTGTTTTTTGGGGGGGCTCTGGGAACTGGGGAGGGGGAAGAGGTGTTTGGGGCTTTCTGAGGGGGTCCCACATCCCTTATGGGGGGGCCTGGGCTCACCCCGTGTGGGGAGGTGGGAGCTGCTCTGACTCCAACTCTGAGTTTTTTGGGGGGCTGGGGAATGGAGGGAGGGGGCGTTGGGGCTTCTGGGGGGGCTCCCAGCCCCCTTCTCGTGGGGGGGCCCTGGGGTCACCCCGTTTTGGTGGGGGTTGCTGCCCACCCTGGAGACCCCCCCTTGGGGGAGCTCTGCACACTGGTTCTGTCCAGGTGTGTTTGGGGGACACCTGGGGGGCATCATCCCCCCCCACATGAGGCAGACTGGGGGGGGGCTGCCCCTGGACTGTGACCCCAAATGTGGGGAGGGGGACTGTGAGGTTCCCAAATCCTGCCCAGGGCCCAGACCTGCTCTGAGCTGGGGGTGGGGGCAGCTCTGACACCCCCACCTGCCCCCCCGGGCGTCCAGACGATCCCCCCCGTGTTTTGGGGGTGTCCGATGGGGCCAGGCTGTGCCCGGGGCGGTGTGAATGGAGTTGGGGGCACACCGGGGGCTCGGGGGGGGTGTGGCGGGGTCAGACTCTGCCCCGGGACCGGGGTGGGCACAGGAGCTTCACCTGCGCGGGGAAGGGGGGCGGGACGGGGCCGGCCCCGGCTGTGCCCGGCCCGCGTTTGGGCGGGCGGAGGGTCCCGGTGCCACCGCCCCGGGCGGGGCGGGCGGGTCCCGGGAGGGGCGGGGAGCGGAGCGGGGCCCCCCCCACACCCCCGCCCCGCCCGGCCCGGCCCCGATCCCGGCCCGTCCCGCCCCGGCGGCCCCGCGCCAGGTGCATTCCCCCCGCCGCGCCCGGGCACGCGCCGGGGCCCGCGGAGAGGAGCCGCGATGGACCCGGACCGGCCCCGGGACCGGGACTGGGACCGGCCCCGGGCGCTGCTGCTGCTCCTGGTGCTGCTGCTCCGCGCTCCCGCGCCGGGCTCCGCGCAGGCAGGTGAGCACCGGCACCGGGGGAGCGGCGGCGGGATCGGGCACCGGGGAGAACCGGGGGCTGCCGGAGCGCTCGGCGGGTCCCGGACGGGCGGCGGGACCGGGAGAGCTCGGGGGTCCTGGCGGTCCCGGCGTCCGCGATTCCGCCGGTGCCGGATCCCGACAATTCCCGCGGCCCCAACGCTCGCGGGGGCGTCCCGCGATCCCCTGTCCCGGGGGGACCCCCACGGCTCCGGGGGGACGGGGACCGGCAAAGCCCCCCAGGGTTGCGGCTCCGGCGGGGCCGGGGCTCGGTCCCCCCTTCCCGGGGGTCGGTGCCGGGCTCGGGGCCCCCCGGGCAGAGGCACCTGTGCCCCCCGCAGCTGCCCGGGCTAATTTTAGGCTGCGGGGCCGGGACCCGCCGATGCCTCCGGGATCCGGCCGGGGCAGGGCGGGACCCCAGACGGGGGGAGACCCCTCGGGGGGGACCCCGTCCCTGCCCGCTCCGGCCCCCCCGCACCCCCCGCACCCCGGAAGGGCCGGATCCGCCCGGGAGTTGTTTTTCAGTCCCCAGAGGAAAAACACCGAGGGCTGGACGCGCAGGTGGGGCCGGCGCGTCACCCTCACAGGCCGGGGGGTGCTCTGGTGCGGGGGTCGCACCCGACCCCTCCGTGTCCCCCCTGCTCCTTGTGCCACCGGCGACGCCTCGGGGGTGCCACCCACGGGGTCCGGATCACACGGGGGGCTCCCACCCCGAGAGGGAACAGTGGGGGCCCGGGGGCACCACGGGGGCACCACGGGGAGCGGGACCAGCGCTGCTCCCCCCAAACCCTGGTCCCCATCCTCTCTCAGAGCCCCCTTTGTTTGGGGCCGGGCCCGGCGCACACAGACCCCTTTGTGCCGCCGCCGGCGGGGCCGAGGGCAGGAGGTCGGGTCTGGCCCCCCCTTCCCGGCCGGGTCCCCCCGGTGCTATTCCTGGCGGCGGGGGCCGGGGGGCCGCGGTGGCACGCGGCTGATAGCGGGGACGTGCCGGAGCTGCCAGCGAGGCCCCGCGCTGATAACGCCCGGGCGCGACGCCGCCGCGGCGCCCGGGGGGGCCCGGCCTCGCCCCCCACCACCCCCTGGGCAGGTGCACCCCGGGGGTCGGGCACCGGCAGCCCCTCGTGCCCGGGGGGTCAGGTCGGACTGGTTGAGCAGCCGTTAATGATTCACCACGTTGCCCAAACACACTTGAGCGTTCCCAGCCACGAGGGTCCAGGGAGGGGCTGGATCCTGCCCCGCCGGCATCCTGGAGAACCCCCAGGCAGGTCCCAGCTGCCCCCCCCAGCCCCCCGTGTTTCACGGGGATCCCACTCCCCCCGCTTTGGGCCCCCCTGTGCCCATCGCCGGGGCGTCGAGGCTGGGGGCCGCGCTCGACACAGCTGGGACCTTTTTATAGCCCCTTTCCCTGTTAAAATAGCTCCGGCCGGCGCGGGGGGAGCGCGAGGGGGGGCTGCAGGCCCCGCGCCCCTTCCCGTTCATGCACCGAGCTGCCCGTTCTCTGCAGCCGCCTCCGGAGGGGTCTCGGGGCCGGACAAAGCTGCCTTTTACCCACCGCGGCCCCCCCGCGCCGGGGCCCTGAGTCACGTCTGCTGGCCCGGGGGGGGGCCCCGCACCCCGCTGTGCCCCGGGGGTACCGGTTTCGGGGGGCTCAGCCTCCCCCCCGCCCGCCCGCCACAATCGCCCCTTTGTGCGGTGGCGGGGAGGGGGCGCGTCCTTCCCCGCGCACAAAGGGGGCCCTGTGCGCCCACGCGGGGGGGACGGAGCCCTTCACCCCGGGGGGACCCCCCGCCCCCTGCGCTCGGGGGTGTCCGGGGGGCTCGGGCGTCGGGGCGGGTGGGTCGGGCCGGGCCGGGGCCGAAGTCCGGGCGGGGTGTGCCGGGCGTGGGGGGGCCGTGCCCGCGGCACCCGCCTTGCGCAACCCTTGCCCGGCCGGTTCGGGCACCGCGCAGGGGTGGGGAGGGGAGGGTGGGGGAGCACCCGTCACCCCCCCCCGGGCACTGCCACCCCCACGGCGGGGACAGAGATGGGGCAGGGCTTTGGGGGGGACAGGGATGGCACAGGGCGAGCGTGGGGGGGACACCATGGAGGGGACGAGGACACCATGGGGGCACCACTATGGCCAGGACACCAGGAGGGGACAGGGATACCACAGGGAGGGGATGGGGACAGCGTGGCAGGGACACCATGGGGGTGACCAGGACACTTTGGGGGCACAGCGTGGCCAGTGTTGGGGGGACACGTCATGGAGGGGACACTGTGGGAGGTGGGGTCGTGGACCTGGCCAGCACAGGACAGAGACAATAGTGTTGATGAGGAGACAGAGCCACTGAGGAGGGGACATGGCCATTGAGGAGGGGACATGGCCACCGTGGGGGGGTCATGGCCATAAAGGAAAGGACATGGCCATTGAGGGGGGGACACGGCCACGATGAGCAGCACGGCCACCAAGGGGAGGATGTGGCCAGCGTGGAGGGGACAGGGACCCCATGGGGTCACGGCTGTGGGCACGGAGGGGGGGCCGTGGCTGGCCCCGGGGGGCTGTGCTGGCAGTGGGGACAGGGTGCTGTGCCCACAGTGTGTGCAGGGACCCTGAACGGGCTGAGCGTGACGGGGGACGCGCAGCACCAGTACCAGACCCTGCACAAGATGTACAACAACTGCGAGATCGTGATGGGCAACCTGGAGATCGTCCTCATCGACCACACGCAGGACCTCTCCTTCCTGCAGGTGAGCTGGGGGGCACTCGGGGGACACGGGGGGGGGGTGCACCCGCCAGGCTGACCCCCCGTGCCCACAGACCATCCGGGAGGTGACGGGCTACATCCTGATCGCCATGAACGTCTTCGCGTCGCTGCCGCTGCAGAACCTGCGCGTCATCCGCGGGACTCAGTTCTACGAGGAGAAGTTCGCGCTCTTCGTGCTGCTCAACTACAACCCCAACGCCACCCACGCCCTGCGCCACCTCGGCCTCAACCAGCTCACAGGTGGGACCCCCGGGCACCCAGCCCGGAACGGTGCCACCCCCTGCGCCTTGTGGTCCTGAGCGGTGCCATCCTGCCGTGGTCCCCAGTCCAGCGTGGTGCCCGTTCCCAGCAGGTCCCCACCCCAGAGTGTTTCTGTCCCCATGTACAGCTGTGCCACCCCCCTGTGCCCCCAGTGGTCCCTGCTGTGGGTCAGTGCCACTCCCCCTGTGCCCCCCGTGCTGTCCCCATCACAGGGTGACAGTGTCCCCTGGAGCGGGGCCGACCCCCGTGGTCCCTGTGCTGGAGCCGTGCCATCCCCTGTGCCAGCCGTGGTGCTGGGCAGGTCTGGGGGGGTCTGTGCCCCCGTCACACCCCTTGCCCCCTCCCAGAGATCCTGGCTGGCGGCGTCTACATCGAGAAGAACGCGCAGCTGTGCCACGTGGACACGGTGGAGTGGAGGGACATCATGCGGGACACCCGCCAGGAGCCCATCGTGAGGGACAACGGCAAGGCCTGTGCGTGGGGGGCTCGGGGGCCCGGGGGTGGGGACGCCCAGGCTTTGGGGGTGACCCTCTGCGCTCTCCCACAGGTGCCCCGTGCCACGAGAGCTGCGGCGGGCACTGCTGGGGGCCCGGCCCCGAGGACTGCCAGAAACGTGGGTACCGGGGGCTGTGGGGGGCCGAGGGGGCTGGGCCGGACCCCCCAACCTCCTGCTGACCCCCCCCCTCCCCGCAGTGACGAAGACCATCTGTGCCCCCCAGTGCAACGGGCGCTGCTTCGGGCGGGCGCCCAATGAGTGCTGCCACGAGGAGTGTGCGGGGGGCTGCACCGGCCCCCTCCGCACCCACTGCTTCGTACGTGCCCACGCTCCCGGGGGGCAGGGGAGTCTTTGCCTGTCTGTGCCATGACACCCCTGCATCCCCCTGTCCGTCCATCCTCCCCGTCCCCCCATTGGTCCGTGTGTCCGTCTGTCCATCCGTGTGTCTGTCCCTCCTCAGGCCTGCCGGCACTTCAACGACAGCGGGGAGTGTGTCCCGCTGTGCCCCCAGCCCCTCATCTACAACAAGCTGACCTTCCAGCTGGAGCCCAACCCCGACACCAAGTACCAGTACGGGGGTGTCTGTGTCCGGGAATGCCCCCGTGAGTCGGGATTTGGGGGTCCCGGGGGAGCCGGGGGGGACTGGGGGGGGCCGGGCTCTGACCACGAGGGTCTCCCCACAGACAACTTCGTGGTGGACCAGAGCTCCTGCGTCCGCGCCTGCCCCAACGACAAGATGGAGGTGGAGAAGAACGGGCTGAAGATGTGCGAGCCCTGTGGGGGGCTGTGCCCCAAGGGTACGGGGCTGGGGGGGCCCGAGGGGGCCGGGGGCCGTGGGACCACCCCTCACCCTCCCCACATCCCACAGCCTGCGAGGGCACCGGCGCTGGCAGCAAGTACCAGACCGTGGACTCCAGCAACATCGACACCTTCATCAACTGCACCAAGATCCTGGGCAACCTGGACTTCCTCATCACGGGCCTGGAGGGGTGAGGGACAGGGGCTGGGGGGCCGGGGGGATGCAGCCCCCCAGCCTGGCTGACGGCTCTGGCCCCACAGGGATCCCTGGCGCAACATCTCGGCGCTGGACCCCGAGAAGCTGAACGTGTTCCGGACGGTGCGGGAGATCACGGGTGAGCAGCGGGGCTGGGGGACGCCGGGACCACCCCTGGGACACCCTGAGGCCCCCCAGGGCCACTGTGACACCCCTCTTCCCTCCCACAGGGTACCTGAACATCCAGTCCTGGCCCAAGCACATGCAAAACTTCAGCGTCTTCTCCAACCTGGAGACCATCGGCGGACGGAGCCTCTACAAGTGAGGACCCCCTTCCGTGTGTGTCCTGCATCCCCCCTCAGCCCTAATCCCTGCATCCCTTGTCCCTGAGTCCCCTCACTGTCCCATGTCCCTGCCCATCCCTGCACTCTCCCATCCCTGTGTCCTGTATTCCCTCAGGGTGGTCCTTGCCCTCCCCACTCCCAGAGAATCCCCTCACCCCCAGAGCATCCCCTCCGGCTCCCAGAGCATCCCACCACTCCCAGAACATCTCCCAAGTATCCCCCCAGCTCTCGGTGCATCCCCTGTCTCCCAGAGCCCCCTTCTTTGGGCCCCCCCCGCCCTGACCCCCCCTCCCCGCAGCCGGGGCTTCTCTCTGCTGATCATGAAGAACGAGAACGTGACGTCGCTGGGGCTGCGCTCGCTGCGGGAGGTGAGCGCGGGCCGCGTGTACATCACCGAGAACCGGCGGCTCTGCTTCCTGCACACCGTGCACTGGGCAGCGCTGAGCCGCTCCCGCGCCGACCTCGACATCCGCAACAACAGACCCCGCAGCAAGTGCCGTGCGTGGGCCGGGCTGGGGAGGGGGCGTGGGACCCCCCGGGACCTCCCCGGGACACCCCACGCCGAGCCCCCCGTCCCTCTGGGGCGTCGGGACCCCCAGAGCCTGCTCTGAGCCCCCTCTTCCCCCCACAGAGCAAGAGGGGAAGGTGTGTGACCCGCTGTGCTCGGCCGAGGGCTGTTGGGGGCCCGGCCCCGGGCAGTGCCTGTCCTGCCGCCACTACAGCCGGCGCGGGGTCTGCGTGCCCACCTGCAGCTTCACCCACGGGTCAGGGGGCACGGGGGCCGGGGGGTGGTTGGCCCTGCGAGGGCACCGGGCTGGGGGCGTGGGGTGGGCACCGGAGGGAGATCAGCCCCAGAGTGGGCACGGGGTGGGATGGACCCCGGAGTGGGCAACGGGGTCAGCACCGGGCTGGGATGGGCACGGGGGAGGTTTACGTGGGGTGGGATTGGCACTGGGGGTGGGCTCCCGGGTGGGATGGGAGCTGGGATGGATCCAGGGTGGGACAGACACTGGCAGGGGCTCCCAGGGTGGGTGGATGCCGGGTGGGCCGGTGACCCCTCCCTGTGCCCGCAGGGAGACGCGGGAGTTCTCCCAGGATGGAGAGTGCTTCGAGTGCCACCCCGAGTGCGAGCGCATCGAGGGCGGCGTCACCTGCAACGGCTCGGTACGGCCCGGCCGGGGGGCACGGGGACCCCCACACCCCCGGGGGTCCTCACACCGTGTCCCCCCAGGGCGCCGACACCTGCACCCGCTGTGCCCACTATCGCGACGGGCCCCACTGCGTGGAGAGATGTCCCGACGGCGTCCTGGGCGAGCGCGGCCCCATCTACAAGTTCCCCGACGGCAGCCGCGAGTGCCGGCCCTGCCACGAGAACTGCACCCGCGGGTGTGCGGGGCGGGGGGGCAGCGGGGGGTGGGATCCCGCAGGGGGCGGGTGGGGGGCCCAGGACCCCCTGCCCGGCCAGAGGAGCTCCCGCCCCGGCTCAGCCCCGGCTCCATCCCCACAGGTGCCTGGGGCCGCTGCTGCGGGACTGCCTGGGGGACGCCCTGCCCGTGTCCAGGTACCGTGGGCAGGGGGCTGAGGGGACCCCGGGGGGCTGCCGGGCCATCCCCTACCCTGCCCTTCCAGGGGGATTGTGCCGAGAGCTGAGCCCCGGGAGCTGAGCTGTGGGAGCTGAGCCCCGGGAGCTGAGCCCCGGGAGCTGAGCCTTGGGAGCTGAGCTGTGGGAGCTGAGCCCTGGGAGCTGAGCCCCGGCCTCCTCCCGCGGCCAGAAAGGCGCCGACGCTGATCGCGGTGATGGTGGTCGGGGGGCTCTTCCTCTCCTGCTCCATCGTCCTCCTCGCGCTGCTCTACTGGCGGGGAAAGAAGATCCAGAAGAAACGGGCGATGCGGCGCTACCTGGAGAGGGGAGAGGTGAGCTGGGGGATCCCACTCCTTGGGGGGCTCGACGGAGCTGGGGGGGAGCCCTGAGGCTGTGGGGAGGGGGCTCAACAGGTGGGAAGGGTGTGGGACCCATCCTTGGCTGCTCCCATCCCCGTGCCTGCCTGTAGCCATTACTGTCCCTCTCCAGCCCCAGCCCCATCCATCTCCATCCACCTGCATCCCAGATCTCCATCTCTGTTTCCATCCCAATCACGCTCCATCCTCATCCTGCTCCATCCCCATTCCCATTCCCATCTCCCACCTGGCAGAGCCTGGAGCCGCTGGATCCCAGTGAAAAGGCCAACAAGGTGCTGGCCCGAATCTTCAAGGAGACGGAGCTGAAGCGGCTGAAGGTTCTGGGCTCTGGTGTCTTTGGCACCGTGCACAAGGTGAGAGGGAGGCTCTGTGTGAGCCAGGGCCGTACACGGCACCACCGGGACATCCCACCTCATCCCACCTCATCCCATCCCATCCCACCTCATCCCACCTCATCCCATCCCATCCCACCTCATCCCACCTCATCCCACCTCATCCCACCTCATCCCACCTCATCCCATGCCATCAGGGCATCTGGATCCCAGACGGGGACTCCATCAAGATCCCAGTGAGCATCAAGGTGATCCAGGACTGGAGTGGGCAGCAGTCCTTCCACGCTGTCACCGACGTGAGTCCAGGAGGTGCCGGGGGTGTTCCCGGGGGATGCCCCGTGGGCGGGGGGGCTCAGCCGTGGCTCACACTGTCCCCCCCAGCACATGCTGGCCATCGGCAGCCTGGACCACTCCTACATCGTGCGGCTGCTGGGGATCTGCCCTGGGCCGCAGCTCCAGCTGGTGACGCAGCTCCTGCCCCTCGGCTCCGTCCTGGAATACGTGCGCAAGAACCGCGACTCCATCAGCCCCCAGCTGCTGCTCAACTGGTGCGTCCAGGTGGCCAAGGTGAGTCCCTGCGGTGGGCTGGGGGTCCTTCTGGTCCTCCCCAGTGCCGCTGGAGCCCCCGGTGTGTCCCCCCTTGCCCAGGGCATGTACTACCTGGAGGAGCACCGCATGGTCCACCGCAACCTGGCTGCCCGCAACGTGCTGCTCAAGTCTCCCAGCCAGGTGCAGGTGGCTGATTTCGGCATCGCCGACCTGCTCTACCCCGATGACAAGAAGTATTTCTACAACGAGGTCAAGGTGGGGCCCGGCAGGGACCCCCCCGTCCCCCTCTGCACCGTTGGGCACCCCAGGACCCCCTGTGTCCTCTCCTCCCCGTGTCCTCTGTTCCTCAGGGTGTCCCCCCCCCTTGTCCCCGTGTTCCAAACCCCCACCCACACCCCCCACTTGCCCCTTTTCCTGGCAGACGCCCATCAAGTGGATGGCACTGGAGAGCATCCACTTTGGGAAGTACACGCACCAGAGCGATGTCTGGAGCTACGGTGAGCGCAGCCCCCCCGTGGGACCCCCCCGGCGGGTCCCCCCACGCTCACGGGGACTGTCCCCGTGCCAGGCGTGACGCTGTGGGAGATGATGACCTTCGGCTCCGAGCCCTACGCCGGGATCCGCCTGGCAGAGGTGCCCGACCTGCTGGAGAAGGGCGAGCGGCTCTCGCAGCCCCAGATCTGCACCATCGACGTCTACATGGTGATGGTGAAATGTGAGTGGGGCCGCCCCCGGGGGTCCTGCTGCTGTCCCCAGAGCTGGCCCTGTTCCCAGGAGGGTCCTGCTCCTCCCCCCCACTCTCAGCCCCCTCTGTCCCCCCAGGCTGGATGATCGACGAGAACATCCGTCCCACCTTCAAGGAGCTGGCGAACGAGTTCACCCGCATGGCCCGGGACCCCCCGCGCTACCTGGTGATCAAGGTGAGCACGGCCCCCCTGAGCCCCCCGAGCCCCCC